CTTCTTTTTTCCAATTTCCGATTTCTGATTTCCTATTTCCGATTCTGAGTTTGTATCTGATTCTATTGCTTGGCTATGATCGATCCTAATTAAGTGGCTATTGTATCGGTTATGTGGCTATGAGTACAAATCTGTTTTGAAGAAACGGCTTTGTGTGTATCTGTGTTTTTGGGCTTCTTGTTAAAGTTAATTGCTGTGGCTATTTCTATTTACTTGTGGCTATTTAAGTTCTGTAGTAAGAGTAGTACTATTGTTTAATAAAGTTGTTGTTGCTGCTGTTGTCTGCTGGTTGTATTTGTGGATAGAAAAAAGAAAAGTACAATCGACTTTAGGCTGTTGTTGTGGTGTTTCGGATTTTATCTGAGCTTTGGAAACATCGATTATCCACTTTAGTATATTAATTAAGATAGTTAATTAATTATTTTTTTATTTTTTTTTTTCTTTCAATTTTTGTTTCAATTATTTTCGGGCTATTGTTGGTTGTTTGTTTTGTTTGTTGTCTGTGCTGGGCTATTTTGTTTCTTAGCATTTTTTTCGCTTGTGATCTTTGCTGATCTTAAGTTGTTGCGGTCGCTCAAGTTGAACTTAGGATAAAAGTTTTGAGTTTTTTCCTGCTTGTGATGTTTCGATCTGAACAATGAGAATGTGAAGAATTTCGGTTTTTGGACTGAAGCGTGCGCATAATAATGAAAAACCTAGGCGTAGTAGTCTAACTTCTATTTAAAAGAGTTATGTGCACTTAAAATGATTTTTGATTTTCGATCCATACGGTAAACATATGCTTGATTCATCCTTCTTGGCATTGGCAAAGAAAGCTTGTAAATTATATTAATCTTTAATGTTAATATATTTGTTGTTGGTTGCTTGGTTTTGTTTGAAACAATTGCACTATAGTTCAAATGATGTTGCCCATTTAAGAAGTCAATAAAAATAGGGAGTAATAATTCTAGTAATAATAAAAAAGAGGAGAATACCATAAAAATGTTTTCTAGTATGTACAAACCATAAATCGAGGCTAACAACGCGCTAAATATTTGTAATCGGTATAATAATAGAATAATAATTATAGTTACGGCTATATAATAATTGAAAATAGAAGTTGATTGATTTATGTGAAGAAATTTTGATTTGCCTACGGTTAGATCATACTTAATGGTAATGGTAATAATTATAATCGTAATCATTTTATGTGCTAAACTAAACTCGAAAATAAACACTAATTATATATATGCACTTATATTCAGCAAATTTTGATTCGCATTGAACAAATTAGATTTTATACACAAATGTGAGCAATTTCATTAAGCACACTAGAAACTCTCTCTGTCTCGTTAACTCGCTCTCAAACCATTTTAAACAATTATATTATGAATATATCAATTTTTAGCTTGTTATTCTTTTCTCATCGTTTTCCATCGTTTTTATACAAATATTAACTATTATGTTGTAGTAAAACAAAGAATAAGTAATGTATGGGTAATCAATCTTGTTTCTCTCCGAAAATAAAACACGTACCTGAGCGTTTTCGCCCGTTCACCTAAAATCGAAAATGGGCGTAACCACGCCTCCTCAATCAGGTGAACACGCAAAAATTCTATACAATTCAACATTCTCAAGCTGTTACTCAATTACACTCGATTGGTTTGTTTTGTTTTTGTGTTTAGACCTACCACTAGGTTGACATTTCGACTTTCGACTTGGTTTCTGCAGTTATGATCTTTCGTTAAGGTTTTATCTTTGGCCCAAACATCTTCTTTAAAGATTTCTATTTATCTGATAAACTTCTAGATAAGTAGGGCCGTTTATCCATAGATAGATACAGTGCTTTTCATATCCATTTAGGAGTAGAATGTTTCGTTAAAGTCAAAGCTAACAAGTGAAGCTTTAAGAGAGATCTATTGCCTGTCTTTTGGCCATGAAACGCACTGTACTTTCCGGACTTTTCTGTCTGTTTGTGTGAATGTTTTCTTGGTTTTCCTCGTTAATGTTTCTTGTCATTATCAGTTGCCTTGGAATTTTTAGCTAAACTTGCTTCGAAATATTTTCATTGTTTTAACATATATTTTTAATAACGTTTGTTTCTTAAATTTGCTTATTTAAACCGTATAATTGCACTTTATCTTGTTTATTATTTTAAGTTTGATTTTCTTTCTTTTTACATCGATATTTGTTTTTTTAATTTTTAAATGTTGCAGAATTTTATTGTGTATAATTTTGCATTATAAAAGACTTTGCGTTATTTTTTCTTTTAATTTTGACTTGAACTGGTAAACATTATTCCAAAATATATACAGCTATATATGTTCTGAACAGTACCATCGGTTTTGGTTTTGTTTTTGTCTTCTGCTTACTGTTATTTATTTTCTGTAATTCAGTTTCCGTTTCTGTTTTTAGTGATGTGTGCCGTAGCTTAAGAAATTCTTTTGACCAAATGCAGTTCCCAATTTTCAAGGGTCGACTGCATAAGGATTTTTAGCTTGTGCTTGGTTTAGTTTGGTTTTATCCGATCTGCCTACAATTTCTTTACATGTGTGTGTTTTTTCTTTATCCATTGGTTTTGTCTTTTTGCATATGCCTGGCCAACATTATTTCAGAAAATGCTTTTCAAAATTTTGGATTATTAATCACAGATAGTGTGTCTAATATATATGTATGTATATAATAAATATGTATGTATACTTCAAATATAATTAAATTAGCAATAAATACTTTTTAATTTATTTCCATTCATTCTTTACCTACTTTTGTTTTTTTAATTTAATTTTTCATTTAATAAACATTTTTTTTAATTTCTTTTGGTTTGCAGAACTCTTCTCTATCATACCAAATGCATAATTTAATTTTTTACACTTTTAAGCCTTAACTTTTAATTTTGTTTTCCGTTTCTTTTTGATACTAAACCACAACATTTATGCACATCAAATATAATTTGGGAGAGTAGCCAATAAATAGTTTTTTTTATCCGTTCGCTTCTTGGAAATTATAATTATTTTTTTAAATGCCTTTAAACGATTTCAATTTAATTATTTAACGCATTTTCGTTTACGATTTTCCACAATTTTCCTTGCCATATCTTTGATTTTTTCTTGTATTATAATTTACTAAATATTTTCAAATATTACCGACAATTTTCCTTATTTCGTCTCCCTTTTTAAATATATTGTATATCGTTTTTGTATGGTTTTTTTTGACACTTACTAGCTAGCACACAAAATATGTTTTTAGGTACATTTATATATTTTTTCATCTATTTTTCATTTACGCAGACATTTAGTTAGTTGTTTACCCATAGATAGAATTTCAAAGTCAAACGAAATATAGATACGTCGAAAGGAGGGCCAAAGATTAGGGGGGTTTAACTGTGTAAATATGTTTTGCTCTCCTGTAAAAGAGTGTGTAGAGTGTATAAGTACATTTAAATATATTTAGTTGCTCAAAATGATCATGTGTTTGGTTTGAGGTATACGCGTAGTGATGAAGACACACACATACATAAATATACAAATATATATCATATAGTATATAGTTATATAAAGTCTTTATATATTTATGCTTTTTTACTTTTGGTGGTTAGGCGGCTGTACATGAAATGTGTGATCTCACAATAATTTGTTTATACTTTTAAGCCAAAATCTTGAAATTTTCGATACGAATTTCCATTTTAAAGCCTAAACACAGATAATTTTTTTTTTAATTTTTTATATGTATTTTTTATAAACACCGAAACATTTTAATTTTGCTTAATTTAGTTCAATATGTGTGGAATTTGTTTAAATTAAAAATAAATTTGTATGTGATAAGAGAATTTTTTGGGGGTAATAAATTTGGATTGTTAAGTTTTTGTTTTTGATTTTGCTAAACAGAAGTTTAATTTTGGGGCTCTTATTTTTTGAATTTGTTGCTCTTTTCTCTGCGTTTGCGTTTTCGTTTAATTTGATTTATTATTTTGTGTGCTCTGTCTCGCTTTGCTTACTAATTTATTTAATTTGTAAATGTGAAGGCAGCTTTGTTTATTGATTTCCGTTTTGTATTTTCATCATTTGAAATCATAAAAAATGTAGAATTTTTGTGGATAATTTTGGTTTTTGTTTTTGTTTTTGTTTTTGCTTGTTTTTGTTTTCGGTTTTACTTTTGAATTTAGCTATTTCACTGATTTGGTGTCTGTTTCTTCTTTGTATTGTAGAGTCTTGTATTATTATTGCTTGGATTGTTGGTTGTTATTGATCGGATATTGATGTTGTTGTTTGTTGTTGTTGTTATGGTCTTTGTTGTTGTTGTTATTGTAGTTGTTGTTGGCTATACTCATTCTGTCTATGTCGAAGACGACTGCCTGGTGCTTTGGCCCTGTTTGAGCTGAAACTTTGACTGGTAAATCTTTCAAAATTTTAAATTGAAGAAAACTATATGGAACATAAGAAACTCTTATGGAATGTTTGAAAATCGTTGCTCAAGGACCAAAAACTCACCCAAACAGAAGTCGATTAAGTTGTTGGCTTGTAACTGCTTTGCTGTTGTCTATATATTTATGCTATATATATATTTTCCCATTGGACTGCTGGCTTTGTTCAATTAAAAAATATACTCAACACAAAAATGCGGTTCGAAAACAAAATGCAAAATGAAAATGGTTCATGTTTTTTTTTTTGCTCAGTATTTCGTATTTGGTCTTAAGGTTTTAGATTGGTTTTTTTTTTGCTTGCTTTTAAGAAAGTTTGTACAAGAGAATGCCTATTTGTCGATTGTCAAAACGAAACAAAAAATATACATTGTACACACCGGGGCACAAATGTATGTTTGTTTGCTTGCTGTTTGTGTTTTTTGTTTGTTTTTGTTTTTTGTTTTTGTTTTTCTTCTATGCAATTGATTACACATTTAACTAAGAGCTAGCGCACATTTACCACATCGGTCAGCTGGCTGGCATATATATATATATATATATGTATATATATATTCTATATAGTGTTTTGTATGGTACTATCAAAAAACGTGGCTTAATTTGGTGTTTGATTGCCCCTCTAGAAGCTGTAGTAGTGGGCGGCCAGCGGTGGCCAGGCGAACGCTGGATTCGTGGCCAATGGTGGCTCCTATAACTGCTCCGAATGGTCAATCTGATCAATCTGATCGACCTGCTCGGCCTTGATCTTCTGGGCCAGCTTTTCGTGCAGTATGCTGGATGTGTGTCCGCCGATGTCCGCACCCGTTCCCGTTTCCATTCCCATTCCCATTCCCGTGTCCGTTTCGCACTTGATGTGACTGCTGCTGCTGCTGCCATTGAGATCCATGATTTTGTGGTTTTGGTGTTGGCCGTTGCCACTTTCGCCGCTCTTCAAGCTGCTGGCATCCGTTTCGGAGTCATCCCGCGATGTCATCCTGCTGCTCCGGCCATTTCCATTGGTCTGGCCATTGCCACCACCACCACCACCACCACTGCCACTTTTGTTCTTGTTGTGCGCCAGATCGCTGTTGTTGTTGTTGATATGGCTACTGCCGCTGGAGTGGTGATGCAGATGCAGGTGGTGTGCCTGTGGGTGTGGATGGTGCTGCTGCTCCTCGTCGCTGCTGGCATTGCTGTCGGCACTCAGCCGTTCCCGCTTGATGTCCGCATAGTTGCCCAACGGACTGCCCGACCGCTTAACACTTTCCCCGCTGGCACTCGAACAGGTGGCGGCATAGTCATTATTCCGATGATTGGTAAACGGCAAGGGGGTCTTCTTCACCAGCAACTGATCGAGCAATGCATGGCCATTGCCATTGCTACTGCCATTGCCCGTTGAGCCAGTGCCACTGCCACTGCCACTGCCATTGCCCTCGTTCGACTGCAGCGTCTTGCGGATGATGCCGTCGTACATGTTCTCCGCCATCTCCAGGGCACTCTTCATCTGGCCATGGTGACCGCCCGAGATGGGGGCACTGCGCATGACCTCCGTGAGGCGGCTAAAGTCCAGGCCATAGGCATTCGAGGCGGCATTCGGCTGGGGCCAGAACATGTTGGGCGGAAACTGCGACAACTGCTGGGCGGCGCCGGCCTCGTACAGCGGCAGTTTCAGGCCATTGGGCGTGGCAACGGCCGCTGCTGCTGCTGCTGCTGCCGCCGCCGCTGCGGCCGCCTGACTGTTCTGGTTCTTTAGGGCATTGCTCAGCTTGGAGCCACCATGGGGACCGGCCTTCAGCTTGTCCAGCTGCAGCTTGTTGGCCGGCCCCGTCAGACCCACCAGATCGGGTTGCGGCTTGGGCTCGCGCTTGCGCGGACGCATCAGGTGCCGCTCCTTGACCTTGTACTCTAGCGTGGAGTGCGGTACGCCGTAGTAGCTGCCCGCCCGATGCACCGACATTTCGCCACGCTGCACGGCCTTGACCGCCTCCACCAGACTGTCGCGGTCGTAGTTACGGTACTTGCCCCTCTTTGGGCGTGTTCCCTTGCCCGCCGCCAGAGCAGCTGCCTCCTGGGCGCTCAGCTGCTGCTGCTGCTGGTGGCTGAGATGATGGTGGCCCGGGTGGTGCTGCTGCGACAGCAGATTGGGTGAGGCCCCGAAGCGGGAGGTGTCGGTGCCGCCTATGATCTTGGCCACCGAAATGCTGGGCTTCTTGTAGCCCAGCGATGAGGAGGAGGAGGAGCCGCCGCCGCCGCCGCCAGCACCGTTGTTGCTGCTGCAATCGCTGGCATTGCCGTTTCGGAGGCCATCCTGGCCACTCTGCTCCTTGATCTGCCGCTGGATATTGCTGGCCATCATTATCTGAATGCTCGACGAGGTGGAGCCGCCGGAGTAGCCGGCTTGGGCCACGGCGGCTGCCAGCATGGGCGAGGCGGAGTGGGGACTGCGATTGCTGCCGTTGCGGTGACTATTGCTGCTGCTGTGGTTGCTGCTGTTGCCGATGCTCAGGCTGAGGCTATTGTTGTTATTGTTGTTGTTATTATTGTTGTTATTGTTCAGCGGATGATGGTGCTGGTGGCCACCCAGTGGTCCGCCCGGCGACAGGCTGCTGCTGCTGGCCGGACCACTGACCTTAAAGGACGGAATCTTCAGTATGGGATCCTCGCTGGCATCGTTGGCATCCAGCGAGGAGTTCGTTTCCGGAGTCTCCGATTTGGGCAGGCGATGTCGATAGGCGGCCGCAGCATGATGTTGCTGCTGTTGATGGTGATGTTGCTGCTGCTGGTGTTGCAGCAATGAGGCATTGCCATTGCTGCCCTCCTGACTGGCGGACAGTAGATTGAGCACACCCTCGTTCATCATCCCGCCACTGTTGGCCACCAGCAGACCCTTGATCAGATCGCCCACCGTCTGCGTTTCATCCAGCTTGGGCATTGCTCCGATTCCGGCAGCCAGCATCAGAGTGTGCAGCAGGACATTGGCGTCCAGCGGTATGGAGGGCAGTCCGCCGGCATTTCCACTGGCGCTGCCCACATGGCGACCCATTTTCGGCGATCCCCGGTCCAGATCCTCGCCCAGATCGCTGCCATTGTGCTCGGAGAGGTGGCTCAGCTTGCGCAGTTGCGAGTATGCCGGCGCCGGAGTCGAGGCATTGCTGTCCACTTCCGCCTCGCCGTCGTCGTTGGAATCCTCTGGCTCCTCGGCATCGTTATCAGCATCGCCATCGCCATCGGCATCCGGCTCCTGGTCCAAATCGTGCTGCATCTTGAACAGCCGGTTGACCAGAATGGAGCGCGGCACATGGTGCTGGCTGGCCGCCTTCCGCGGCCCCAGCTTGTTGGCCACCACGTCCTGAAGCGCTCGGTTCAGGTCCTCCTCGCTGTACGCCCTCCTTCCCGACGGCGTAGGCGTGGCACAGGCTCTGCAAGAGATTAGACAATTTTTAAAATATTGTTAAAGTGTTTTTGAAGTATCGAATAAGATTCTGATAGTTTATAGATTATTAATATACGATTCTTTTGTTGCACCAGAATAGTTAGAAGAATAATATATAAATAAACAAAGAACAAAATTAGTTAAAATTAGCTAGCATGCTTTTAATTGTTATCATTGTCTACGAATTCACTATTATTAACATTATTTTCTTGGTATCATCTAAAGCAGCCTAATTAAATATTTGGTTTTCATTGGCTTGCTTTTAATTATTATAAAATTGGTATTACAAAATTGGTATTTTCAGCTTAAAACTGGTATTATCTTATCTTAAGCAGCTTAAGTATCAACCAAAACAAAATATATCTAAACAAGTGATGATTGTTATATTGTGAGCTTATACACGTCATATTTTAGTTTACAGCCACTCAGGTGTTGCGATAAGATACGATTTCTGTGACATGTCTTTTGGGATTTTCCATTAATGTACGATGAAGAGACTTTCGGCACATAACCGCCCAATCTCAGCCGCTAAAAAGTCTGCAAGTCAATCAACTTTTATCTCCCGGCAATTTTCGTCAGTGGGTTCCGGCTTCAAGGGTAATATTTTTTGGCAGCACCATCAAAGAACTTGACAGCCACTTCTCTTTTTGGCTTTGTAGAAAGCACTCCTTTTTTTCGGGTACTCACACACACACAATCACTCCAAGACACACACACACACTCACCCAAAATACAGGGACAATCGAGAGGACTGACAATGAGTGCTTCTTAAATGTCTGCAGCAGGCAGCGAGGAAAAGACGAGACTGGTGTCAAAGGCAAAGCCAAGGATGCTATACAATCTTTTCTTTTTTTTTTTTTATACCCATTTTGGTGGACATTTTTTTCGGGAAAAGACAAAAGATGCCAAGTCAGGGGAGTCTGGTGAGTTTGGGACCAAATATGTTTTTGAAGTTCATTAGACGAATCCCGAAAAAAAGAAAGCCGAAAAGAGACATTTCGCAGAGAAGAAAAGAAAAGCATAAACATTTTTCACTTAATGCCAGCACGAGCGTGAGTCCAAGCGCATTTTCTTCTACTCCCACTTACACATCAGGAAGAGGCAACTTTTGTTTTCCGACAACAACAACGGAGTTACACTGCGGAAAACTTAAGGTATTCATAAAAATATTTATTTAAAAATGTAACTCAAAAATTTACCCTATATCAAACATATTCTGTACATATATTATGTCTTTATTTTCATACTTTAATGGCAACTAAAATGTCTTACATTTTTATAAAAAGCATAAAAAAAAACTTAAAATAAAAATGGAAATTTAAATTTTAATTAGCTTTTGCTAAAAATTTATTTTTGGTTGGACATAGATTTGGCAAGCGGATTGGATTGAACAGCCTAATTGCAAAAACTTAAAATGAAGAGTCAATTTTGTATGAATTGAATTCCGTGTGAAAATTCATTCCTTACAATTTTTTTTTAATGATGTTTATAAAGTTAATTTTAACTAACTATTTTGTAGAATTTCAAATATATTTGGCTTTTTGGCTTGTTATTGAAAAAAATAGAATTCCAAGAAAATCCAATTGTTTTTTTTTTTACTTTATTAAAAATCTCCAGATGCTATAATTTTTTTTTGTGTGTGCTAAAACTGCACGAAATATTTCTTTTCTTTATGCGCAACCAGAAACGAGACGAGCTCGAGACCCTTTCTTTTTTTCGTGGGCGGCTGGGGACATTGCACCGGCGAAGAAGGGGGCGTGGCAGAGTGGTAGGGGGGCCAAGGGGGGTTGGGTAAAACGCACAGCTTCTTTGGCGCCCTTCGCTGAGGGCTGTGGCACAACAGGAGGCGGCCCTGGCAAAAGTTGATGGCAAAGTCAAAGCAACTTTTTTTTTTTTTTTTTTATTTCGCCACCCCTTCCTCCCTGCCCTACGTCCATTTGTTTCGGAGTCCTTGCGCGTCTGGAAAATGTCTGAAAATTGTGCAGACAACACACAAAAAAAAAAAAAAAGAGAAAAAAAGAAATGCAGGCTAAAGGAAGAACAAGAAAAAGAGCCAAGCGAAAGCGGCAGCAGGTGGCAGTGAATGTTAAACTGTATGATAGCTGAGATGGTTTGTTTTTGTGGTGGGGTGGAGCGGGGTTGGTGAAAGTGGGAGGGTCAGAGGCGGATAAAAAAGGGGCGGCAAGTGACCGTAAGTGGATTGGGCTGTGGGCGGTGGCATCATCATTAATGGCGACAGTTTTTCGCATTTTTGCTCATTTTGCATACACAAAATAATTTCCCAAAAAAAGGAGAGGCGGAAAAAAATTTTTTTTTTTTGCATAATTGCGCAGAGCTGGAAAAGTAGGGTGTGGGATTCCCCCAACGCAAAGGATGGCGCGCGCGAAAAATAAATGAAAAATGTCATTTCAATGTCGTTGGGATTTTTTCGTTGGTGTCGTTTACCTTTTGGCTGCACTTCAATTGCAATTTGCCATTGCAACAGCAGTCGACGTCGCTGCCGCAGTTGTTGTACAACATGCATACATTTGTTGCCGCCCTTTGTTGTTTTTGCCATTGCACACGCATGTGGAGAGCATTCATTTGCACCCAAAAAAAGCAAAAATAAGGAGAAAAAAAATGCGAACCTCAAACCCTATTTTCCCTACTTTTTTCCTCTTTTTCCGTTGGCGTTGCAATTTTTCTGACATTTTGTTTTAATTTGTGGCAGCGCCAGCAAAAGGGTTGATATTTTTTTATTCGCCAGTGTGTGTGTGTGTGCTGTTTTTTATTTCCCTTTCCTTTTTTTTTTTGTTGTAATTTTGACGCAACTGTAATGCATTTCTTTCGCTGTTGTTGTTATGCGCATATTGCATTTTTGTCGGTTCATCCCACACCTTTTGTTTGCGTTTGGTCATACGTACATACGTTAACATAAAAATTCCCCATCTCCTTCTCCATAACTGTTTTTTATAATTTTCGGTTTATTCGAAAAGAGACGATTTTTCTTTTATTTCAGCTTTAACAACAATTATATTTGACTAGGTAATTGTGCAAACACGATAATTGAGGTGTGATTCCAAGGCAAAGGTTAAGTCCATTGTCAGGTGATTTTGAGGTGGAATATAAATGTCCTTATTAATTGCAATTATATAACTATACAATTGCAATAAATTACTATATTACTGCTAAGGAGCTTTTTTTTAATCTTGCAAAGAATTGATAATTCAAATAATTTTAGGAATGTTCCGGAATAAATATTTTAAAATCTATTAAAGTTGTAAAAAAAGACTTAAAAATAAAGTCAAAAATTTTGTTTCTTGTTTCGCTTATTCAATTTTATGTTGAAAGACTTTTGGTAAAATAAAACAATTATTTTAGTGACCAAAATAAGTAAAACAAACTTCGTACAGATTGGTGCGTTCATTTGAATATTAGGTAACCTAGTTTCAGTTAATAAATTATAGAAGAAAATTGTTATTTTTTATTGAAAATATCTTCTGGCTTTAACACAATTTTTTGGAAGTTCCCTTTTTAATGCGAAGCGGTTTATAAATATTTTTGATTTTATTTTTGGCATTTTACTGCAGTTTTTTGTGTCTTTCAATTTGGTTGCGTGCTTGGTGGCTGCTAAATATGCCAGGGGCGTAGTCGAAGGGGGAAGAAGCCTGGTTGGCATTTCGCTGGAGGAATGGAATGTGGGGGTTACTGGTTAAGAGGGAGAGGGAGCGGTTAAGGTTTGGCAAAGGGGCGGAGGAGCGGGACTGTGAGGGGCGTCAGGAAGTCGCTGCCGCTAGCACCGACGTTCGCACAATGCCGTCAACTGTTCCTCATTCCAAGCTGGCATTTTTTTTTTGTGTGCATGAACGTTTGTGTGTGTGTGTGTGTGTGTGTGTTGACAACGTCGAATGCAATTTTGTTAAAAATGCATTAAGTGCATGTGTGTGAGTGTGGGTATGAATGCAATTGCATGTTTGTTTTTGTTGCCAATGCAGTCCGCCCCACAGCGCCTACACTTGATGCGTGCGCAGCGAGCCCGCCACCCCCTGATCCACCCCCTATTTTTACCCTCCTCCCTCCACACACAGACTTGTGCATACATCAACCCATACAAGAGCCCAACCTCTCACACACACACATTCATTGCAGTTGCATTTTTTCGGAAGATATGCACTCATTTTTTTCGACGTTGCTGCCGACGTTGACGTCACTGCAGCTGCATTTTTGTATGCACTTACTTTATTTTTGTTTCTATCTCGCTCATTCGTTCACGCATATAACGGCAATCAGGACGGTTTCAAAAAAGGCACAAAAAAATGGTCTAAAGGACCTTGTTATACCCTGTTTTTCAACCCAAAACAATTAGCCACTCAAACTAAAACTAAGAATACCTAGTACACTTTCTATTTCTTTGTTTTAATATAAGTGCCTTTCGAGCTGTATTTAATAAACTTCCTTCAAGTTGGACTTAATATTGTTATATTATCCATTTGTATAAAACTGTCCACCAAAATCTAATAATCAGAGCAAAGCCTAAGCCAGTAAAGCCTATGTCATTAAATTTCGGTTCTATCTTTTCTTATTGTATTTAACTGATTTGATTATTACATAATTTGATCTTAAGGATTTAATTTTATTAAATATTTGTACGCAATATTTAAAATATATTTCAACCAAAATACTTTTACAAATTCACACACTTCCTACTTACATTCATTCTGTCCTTATTCTATCGTTTTCGTATTAAATAAGTTGGAAATTAAAGACAAAAATGGCAATACAATCTAGCGGCTAAATTAAATGGCTTCAAAATTGTTCAAGCACAAATCGAGCCACCATCCAACACTCAATGAAATGACAAAAATATGGAAAAAATAAGTAAATGAGTGGTGAAGGGAAAAGAGCTGGGAAAATAAAATAATGAAACCGAGGGGGATCCATGAAACCGTTAAAAAATTGCTGCCCTGCAACAATAACAATCGCAATGGCCAGTGCACGCATTAACCTCTTCTTGTTGTTGCTGTTCTTGTTGTACCTTATATATTTCGCTCATTTTTTGTACTTTTCGTTGTTGTTGTTGTTAAATGTATTTTTTGGGGCCAAACGCAGTCGACTGCGCTGCCGACGTTGACGTCGTCGTCACTCTTGCCAGTTATTACGTTCGCAATCTCTCTCTCTTTTTTTTCGGTGTCGGTGTGTGCGTGGGGAGAATTTTTCGTAAACGAAAAATAATGAATATATACCCAGCGACAATCCCCCGCATACCGCCTCCCAACCCCCAACCCCTAACCCCCAACCCCACCTTACCCTTAACCCGCCGAAAGTGCATAGAAAAAAGTAGCAAAGAAGAAAGACCAAAAATACGAAAAAACACTGACACTGATACACGGGGAGAAAAACAAAGCAAAGCTTGGTATAAATTCTTTGTAAATAAAAAAAGCTTTTATTTAAGACTTCCTAGTTTCTACTAATATTAAAAGTTTATCGAATTATATTTGATTCAAATTTATAATGCAAAATTCCTGTTTTTTTGTGAAGTTAGTTTGTAGTATTGGATTTAAGTTCAGATTTAAAAGTAAAATTTGAAAAGGTTAATATAAAAGTATTTTAATTGACACTTTTAGGAATTCACAAAAGCTAATTGTTCTTAATTAAAAAATGTAATTTCTTAAAAATCTTATTTCTCAGTGCACACACACACATTGAGAATGTAAAACGCAGTTTGCAAAAAAAAAGCGATCGATATGATGCACTCATTTTTGTCTGCTGCGCTGGGCGACGTCAACGTCGCTGCTTCAGCTGCTGCTGCTTCGAGGAGCGATGCCGTCTCATCATCCTCAGCATCAGCAGCCTGAAAAAATCTGTAATAATAAACGCTTGACGAAAAAAAAAACTCCAAAAATTGCAGCGTCAGTAGCTTTTGTGCTTCAAGTGGTTTGATGGTCTGAGTGGGTGGCTGTGGGGGTGTGAGTTTGGGTCTCGGTCATCTGGTTGGCCCCCATTGATAAACACTCTGGTCGATCATAGTCTAATGCCTTCATCACAATCCCAGGAAAAACAGTCAAACTCCTATATATGTTAGCTAATTTTATAAAAAGGGCCTACATTTAAAATCACATTTAGTCCATACAAAAAGGAATCTTTGCAATTAAATGTAAGTAAATTAGCTTTAAATTTAATTCGTATACACCAATACCTAGTCAAGTTATTTTGTAACTAAATCAATATCCACAGCAATTTATTAAAATTCATTTAATTAATTAACTACTCATAAAAGCCAAACACGAATTAATTTTAAGCTAATACCATAATTAATCAACTTCACATGGATCCAATTAAAAAAATAATTTTTTTTAACAAAACAATCCTCTAGAAAAATTGAACAAAATTCACTTATATATATTTTAGGCTAATACTATAATGAATTAACTCCGCATGGATCCAATTAAATAATATGGTATATTGTTTATCAAATTGCGAATAAATCTTAAAGATCCCAAAATATCAATGGTTCATCAAAAATGGGACTTTTTGTCGGAAAGTAATTAAAACTCTGTTGTTTCTTGCTTGAAAACGTCTTCCGTCTGGATTTTCTTCGTTTTTTAGCGGTTTTCCTTTTTCTTTGCTTATATCTGACTTGCCATGTCCCTATCGCTCCTTTTTTTCCCACTTCCTCTAACCCCCTTATGTATTCATTGTTTTTTGTACATTTTTTTGACACATCCTTCTTGCTTTTTTTGTGTGTGACAATTAAAATAGGTGTACGAGATGGTGCATGGCGACGGTGGCGGCTGCTAACAAACACTTGGCCATGCTTTAGACAATAGACAAGGACTCGTGTTTTGCGGCTCAAGTGGCAGCCGGCATCGTTGCCACAGTCGCCGGCGCATCAGCCAAGGAGCATTCGCAAAAAAAGGAGAAGAATGAACCAAACCAGAACCAGAAGCAGAACCAAACCGCAAACAACGAAAAAATCCCACCGAAAAAAGTAATGACAAAAATTGTTGGGAAGTGCTGCGAAATTATGCACACGCTGTGACGTCTGAAGTGCACACCTACACACACACCTACACCCATGCCCAAAGTAATAATAAAAGGTGCTGCTGAACATTTTAGAGTAATTAAAAAAATAGCAGGCAACAAAAAACAAAAAATAAAAAAAGAAGAAATTAACAAAAAGTGAATTGAAAAAAGATTGCGGAGCTTCTGAAGGAGTTAAGATGCAGCCACACAAAACGGAATACATAAATCCAGTATTCTTTCTTTCTGCTAACGTTTATAATCTTTTCCCTTTTTTTTGTTTTTTTTTCGGAGATTTCATGTAAATTTATGCAGCCCACCTGCCTAACGCTGGTAATTAAGCGTGGCTGCAACGGGGCGTATGTGCAATTTTCGGCATCGTTTCATAAACCACACACACTCAGTCGCATGGGCAGTGGTATAATTGCACAATTTTTACATAGGCGCACAACAATAAAGCTTTAGCTGCCACAGCATCAGCATTTGCGGCGATGTAAAAGTGTGTGTGTTTCGGAGTGGGTGTGTGAGTGCCCCGTTAAGTATGCTACAGTAAGTGCAGTGTCAGAGGCGGCGGGCCAGCGCCCAAAGTGCAATTATCTCATGTATTGTCTGGCACACGATTCGGTGTTTTTTCCGTTTTTTTTCGGTTAACATTATACCCTATAAAAATTTTCGGCTATACGGCTTTTTGGCTGATTTCAAATTAATTGGTTTTGGAATTTAATATGCTAATTACATTTTGTACAACTAGAGAAGGTTAGAAACTGAATTATAACAAACAAATTGTTTTTGTTTTTATTTTGTAAAATATTTTAGAATTTAATTATAATTATAAATAATACGACTTGGTGAAGATGTAAGAAAAAATTCAGATTTTGCCATTAGAATTATTTTTTATATTAAACATTTAATATATGGATTTAGAAAGAATCAAGGTAAGCTAAAAATTAAAAATAATTTTAATAGTTATATTTTCTTGACAAACATTTTATGAGTTAAGTAATAACAAATTAATCAGGCCCGTGAAATGAGCATTTGGTTATTCGTTTCCCACCCGAAATATGGCTTAATTTCCACCTTTTTTCCTCTCGTTCTGTTTTACATGAAATCCCTTTTTTTATGTATTGTGCTGGGGGTTTTTTAAAATTTTTTTTTCGGCGTTTGCGCAGATTGCCAGATTTATATCGAATACATGCTTATACATAGGTATTTATGTGCTGCAACTTCCCGCCAGCGAAGGGATGGTAGGTATCCCAAATTCGGCACTCACCTGACGGACTTCACATCGCCGCTAATCGATGAGTTCGGCGATGGCTTGCTGCTAAGATCGAGCGGTGCATCGGCACTGGGACTGGGTGTATCTTTGAGTGCGGGACTGATTGCGGCTGCAGATACTTCTGAGGTAGTTGGCGTTACCGAACTAGCGATCTGTTGCTGTTGCTGCGGCTGCTGCTGTTGTTGCTGCTGCTGTTGCTGCTGGCTGGCCAGTGAGTTGATCAGATTGAAGTCGGCCAGCAGTGAGAATTGCGCCAGCTGGGCGGCCATCGAGTCCATCGATGTCATTTTGGCTGCCCGCTGGGTCAGCAGCTTGTACAGTTCGAGGGAATTGGCGGATGTTGCCACTGTGGGTCTTGCAGCAGCAATGTGGCGAGCCCTGTTGCCACTGCTATTGTTGTTGCTGTTGTTGTTGGTATTGCTGCTGTTGCTGCTGTGGTGGGGCAGTGATGCGCTCGAGTTGCTGTCACTGTCGTGCTGCTGGGCAAAAGTTTAAGGTTAATAAAAGTTCAAGGCACTAATTTAATTTAAAAATATATATTGTACATTTTGAAAAATATTTTTTTAACAATTGGCTTACGTTTAAAGCATACAAAAAAAAAGGTTTCCTTTAAAAAAATTGTTTTAAAATACTAATTGAAGGTTCTGATAAAGAAGCAAATAATTATTACAAATAATTGTTTTTAAAGTTATTTAAAAAAATACTTTCTAAAATAACTACATATTTTCTATGTGTGCTAATCACAATGAGGGATGGATGAACCCACCTGATGAATGTGGCTATAACTAGTGCTACTACTAGTGGCTGTTGCTGCTGTTTCGGCCACCAATTCGCCCTGGGCGTTGACCGTTAGCAGACGACCGTTAACACAGAAATTGCACTTGGCCGACGGTCTCCAATCGTTGGGTTCTGGCGGTGGTGATGGTGTACTTGTCCAGGTGGCTCCCGGTGTTGCTGTACGTGATGAATCGTGTGATGTTTGGTTGTTCTCTGTGTAAGGGTTTGCAGAGTATTAGGCTAATTTCGGGGGAATATAGATAAGTGCCACCCACCAAAATCTTCTTCCAGCTGCAGGCTGCCGTTGTGGTGCCGCTCTTCTAGACGGTGGTTCTCTGTTTTACTGTGGTTGGGGTTTCTGCTCTGGTTGAACTCCTTGCTGCTGTGGCTGTGGTTGTATTGCGGTGGCTCGTCCTCGGAACCGGCTATTATTGCTATGGGCTGTTGCTCCTCGATATTCAAGTGGCTGCGCGTCAGTTGCTCTTGATAATGTTTCCATTGCCTGCGACCCATAAATTCTTCAGCAACGCGTTCTAAGCCTGAAATAACATAGATAAATATCAACCTGATTAGTGAAATAGCTTATAAATGAAAAATATGAACAATATTGGAGTAAATCATTTAAACTAATTGAAGTGAAATACCCTTTCTTAAGATTTTTAGGAACAGAAATATATATATAAGCTAAATAAATATAAACATAAAAAGTACAAATGCAAATAAAAGGTGTTGGTAAATCAGCACTATGTTTTTAAATTCAAACAGTTTTCATTTTTACAAACGATTGCATTTAATATAATTTTAGATAAAAATATGTAATATTTGTAATACGTTTAGAGAATACTTTTATGACCCCAATGTAAATTTACGGCTTAAAACACACTTGTAAATTTTGCAGCGAAGGCTGAGCTCCATTATATTAATTATTTAAAAAAGTACCATTGCGGTTCAAGAATGTTATGGCAGTTGCATGCCTTAATAAACTATAATTTGCCTAGCTGTGGCAATTAATAAACCACTTTTTTATTACTCCTTCAGTCAACCCAAACCCTATTTCTGTTTTGCTCCTGGGAATTTTAGCAGACAGAAATTACTTAATTGAAATGCAATGCCACTAAGTATAGGAGAAAAGTGCATGTAACAAAAAAAAAAAATAAATCGAAACGAAAAGAAAAGAAAAAGAAATGGCAAATTGTGAGGAGAGAGGCCTATACTTAAGAACGGCACACGCTGCGTATGCGTTATTATTGAATACGAAATGTGTGCGAGTGGAAAATTGATAGATTTGCTTTGTTTGCATTGAGGCGACTGGCTGCATTTCCCTGCACACACAAACAACACATCCGTCTTGGCCAGCCCGAGAACTCTAATTGCCGCACAAAAGTTATGCAATTTAATGCAAAATGCATTTTGGCCAGCGGAGTGGGTGAATGTGGTTTGGAGAAGCCTGGCCCCGCCACTTGAAGGGGCAGGCATGCGTGGTTCAAAAAGCAAAACTTTTGCGCATATGGTAAAAGGGTACGCGTCAACTCACACGAAATGCGAATTAAAGGAGGGCCAGCGGAAGAAGTAGTAGAAGGCAAAAAAAATATATATGTAGGAGTCGAAATATAAAACACGGGTTTGGTAGACAGAGGGCGGGAAATCCCTGAATTTTGTAGCATTTTTACAGCCAAACCGGAAGTTAGATACAAGGGGGTTACTGATTTGCCAGCACCCCTCCAATGTCCTTGTGGCTGGCCCCCATCGTCCTGGTTGCCTAGAAGTGCGTGTGTTCGGTGCGTGCGTTTGGGGAATGGCAACTTGGGGCTGAAGTGGGGCAGCAGGATTGGTGGGCTAGCGACGCACTGCAGCTGCTACGGCTGCTGCTCATTCTGGCGCAAAAGTAGAGCGGCGTGTTCAAACTTTTCGCAGTGTAAAATTCGTATTGCTTTCCCAGCTGCAACGGCAACTGCAGTTTTTTAAGCGCTCAAATAAACAGGGTCGTCGTCGCCGTCGTCGACGTCGTCGCGTTGTTGTTGTCGTTGTCGTTGTGTTAGCGCTTCGGGGGTTGCGACGTCAACCGCTTTTCCCGCCTTTTCCCCGCCTTTTCCCCGCCTTTTTCCCCTTTTCCCTCCTTTTTTCTCTTTTCCCGCCTTTCCACCTGCCGCACGCACCGAAAAAAAGGCGAAAAAACGAGGTGAATGCACGCACGGGACGTACAAAACTCAAACTTTAAAATGCAACCAGTCCACAGACACACGCCTGCATTTTGTCGTTAAAAAATTCAGCGCACACCGAAAGGGATATGCACGAAAAATAAATGCTCTTTAAGAACAGGTGACAAAAGGTGGGATTTAGGTAACTTATTCCAGTTGATTAATTAATAATAGAAATACAATAAAGTTACATTTACTTACTAACTAAGAGTATTAATAAAATATGTTATTATAATTTTGTTTCAAACAAATTATTTTAAATACGTCCAAGACTGTAATTGTCTATTTAAACTTGTATATTTTTAAGCTGCATATTTCATAAAATCAACTAGATTTTTTAAAAATTAAATATAGCACCAGAAGCCTTTAATAAGTCCAAGATTTTTCCAAATTAATCTTTAAATATTAAGCTTAAAAATTTCATAATTGTTATAAAACTCCCTTAACATATCCATGAAGTTCCTATCAAATGTTCAGTTTCAAATGAAAAATAGGGTTAAATTAATCAATGTCATCATATATTGATTTAAGGCTTTCTAAACATTAAGCTTTCGATAATGTCATTATCGCTTTATGAAAAAATCACAGCTGTTGGCCAGCTAATTGCGGAACCCCCTCGAAATATAAAGCCACGTCCCACCAATCTATTGTATTGTATCAATTAGCCGTGGCTTATCCACTCCCCGCTCGTTTAACTTGTAATTCCTATTCATTACAAACCGAGCCACAAATTGCAGTCGACCATCTGTGGACGAAGAAGGGTGCGTGTGTTTTTAGCGAAGGAAACCCTACGCACAGGCGAAATGCCAGGGGTTCTTCTTCTGGGTCTGCCAGATGCACTCGCACATTCCATACAGTATACAGTATACAGTATTTAGTAGTATGCAGTGCACACTGTACGGTGCACGCACGCAATGTCTATTCGTTTTGTTTTTGGACTGCAAGAGTGTGCGTTTGTTTTCTGCCTGTGGTCGGGGCGACACACATTGCGTATGAAGATGACGACGACGACGGCCGCAAGGCGGGATTTCAATGCTGTTTTCGTTTCGGGTTTGGGTTTGGGTCTGGGTTTGGGTCTGGGTCTGGGTTCCCCATTTGCTTCTGGGTCTGGTGGTGCTAGCTATTGCCATCATTGCTGTCTGCCCGCGTTCACATTATGCCAAGCCAGCAGCGCCTGAATGTATGCTAAATAGAATTTTTCGCTTGCCGCCAACCTTACAGTGCAACCTCAAAGTGCGTAAAGTTGCAAATTTTGTTGAAATTTTATTAGATTTATAAAGAAGGGTTGGGATGAATAGTTCTATCATTAAAAACAGCTGAGCAATCATATTGTCTAGATACTACATTGTTTAAAAAACATGTTTTAAAATGTCAAAAAGAGTGCAAAAAAATATTTTGTGATCCGGAAATATTTTTAAATTTATTTATTATGAGACAAATTTCTTTATGTAACTTTATTCCATACTCTAGTGATTTTTGTAGCACCCCAATTAACACCATAGAATTTAGAAAGTTTTTTTTTCAAAATTCTAATGAATCTTAATATTGCCAGTGATCCCTGTACATGGAAAATAGAAGAAAAATAGGTGTATGTTGTTGGCTTAGACGATGTCGATGGGTGGGTGGCCTATGACCTATGTCTTAGTGTATGTGTGTGTTTTGAATAGGCGATAGTGCGTTTGTGTGTGTGTGCGAGAGTGTTTGCCATTCAAGGCAACGCAACGTGACACGTCGTCAGGTGGGCTGGTGGACTGGTGGGATATGGACACGGATAGGGATACCGTCTGCCCATCCTGTCAGTTGTGCTGTCGCCCTGTCTGTCCGTTTGTTTGCTCTAGGGTCGCTGCGGTGCGGTGCCCTAAAACCTACAACAACCGACTGACAAACAAAAACGAAAGTGCGTTTAATCAAAGTTAGCTATTAAAGCCAAATGGCTAAACTAATTGTGACCCGACGCAGCGGGGCGTATGATTTATTTGCCTTTTGAGGGGTGCATTTTTTTTGTTGTTGTATATTTGTTGTTGTTCGGTTGGGTCGTTCATACCTTAAACCCACACTAACCGAAAAAAATTGAAGCAATTAAACACGGAAACTCATTTACACACGCTGAAACACACACATACGCTTAACGAAATGCAAATGGCATGCGCCATGAGAGAGACAACGCATGAAAAGTGGCAAAAGAAATGGGCGAAACGGCAACAGCACCAACAACAGCAACAGCAAACAAAAAAAAAAGAAACGAAAAAATGCAATTATCGATTAATGTACCACATTATATATGGCCCATGTATATAGAAGGGGCCTGCAAGTAGATAAGCCCTTATGTACACATGATACTTATGTACTGGCATCCATAGGTATGCTCGGCCAGAAGTCATTAAAAAAAATTGTTGTTTTTTCAGCCTTTCAGGCTGGCAGGCTCATTGAGTTTTATTCAATTCTCATCCTTTAATTTTATTTTCGGGTTGCCACAGGGGGCTGTCAAGTCGTTTACATAAGCAAATTACTGTAATGACGATACATAATGTATTGCCTCATTGTTGGAGTTGTCATTTGCCATTAAATGGTATGTATAATTATATGTATATACCTTTATGTAATATTTTTTCTGAGGCATGCCATTTGTGCTTGCATTTCCCCTCTGCCCAAGAACTTGACACACAAGACAGGAACTATGGCAATTTGACATTTTCCTACAGTTCGCCTCGTTTCGGTTGCAGCTTTTTGGCGTAATGCGTGCCGTAATCAAATGTCAAAAGTTACCGCCAGCCTTGGAGGCGCATACGTAATATTACGTATACGCAGTGCAATTTTCGCCCATAAATACTGCATTAGATGAGCCACACAAAGGTGTCGGGCACATGGCTCCGTTCACAGATAATTAGATTCTAACCGCACGTGGATAAAGTTTGATTGGCCTATATATTAAAAAAAATTAAAATCCACTTTAAGAGTGCAATTTAAAAGTCTATAACTATATTACGTAAGGTAATTTAAAAAAAAAAACACAAATGTACTTATCATAAAATCACTCTGTATGATATATTTTGTTCTTCCCTACTATTTAATAAAACCCTTTATTTTATTTTTTTAGTTTATTATTATTTACTTCAAAACAAAGCCCAAAAGGGCAATAAATATTTTACAATTTCGATCAAAATCAATAAGTGCAAGCTTGTTTGTTTGTTCATTATATGAGAATGTAATCATTTTCATATGTTTCGCATGAATTTTATATGACTTGCGAAATTAAAAGTTGGCTTGCAATTATGCAGTTAAATTGTTGTAGGGAATTACAGACTGAATACAATTAAAAGGGTCTGAGATGAATTTATAAT